TGTATCACATCAACTGAATCCCGGAAGAATTGGGTATTAAACGAGTTCCAATGCTTCTTATTCTTGAGATGTTTCGAGTCAAAATCTTGGCTGATCACATGAAGGTGCAGTTGTCGCATTGAAGGGGCCTATAAGAAGGGACAATTCATTTCGTCAAAAAGAACAGTACACTGCGTGGCTTGCTTGGTGCAATGAGGTAAGGATTTCAAACAATTATCAATTTAATATAAAAGAATCGATTGGGTGAACAAACCATGAAACCAAGTTCAACCCCATGAAACCAAGTTCAACTAATCCTTGTTTTCTAATCCTATGTTTGGCTCACGTTTATAAACATTCAAGCCACTTTTTATCAACACATTTTGAGGGACCCACAAGTATTATCCACTTAATCATCACTCATTTCTATACATATATAAATAATCACTTCCCATAATTTAAAACATTTATAATTCACTTCCCAAACATGCTATAAGAAATACTTTCAGCTATCTATTTAAATAAGATAAGCTCCTACAGTTGCATTTATTGCCTGAACTTAAAGTGGATCAAAATAAGCTATTGTCATCCATACAAGACACTTTTTGTACTGGAAAATAAACTTCTTAGTATGGTCGATTTAAAGTTGCCGTTCTGTTTGCAAAAGCTGATAGCAAAAACTTAATTACTCTTCTTTCCCAGTATTATTGATCAAAAGGTACCAAATTAACCAAGTTGCTTCAAGGTCAAAGTCAATACTCCTATCATTTATCCCCTAATTCTACTAACCCTCTGTGAATATCCTTAACAAATTCATCTCTCTAGCATACAAGTAATAATGCATCTGTTCAACGTATTCTTATACGTCATTCCCTTTTCATACTTTAAATGACTAATGCAAGATTAATTCTTAATTGGTCAACTGAGTTTGCCAAGGCAAGTAACACTAAAGAGAATAGTACACTTAACAATAACATCAAAATAGCACTCTCTGGTCTAATCAGAACTTACTGAATGGTACCCAAGACGGAATTCCAGTGATTTATTTTCATCAAGAAACTTTTCTGCCCACTTCAACCCAACAGCGTGCATTGTCTTTAGCAATGAGAGGTGCTCTTAGCATACATCTGTAAGCTGGTCCAGACCTTCACATCTTGCCAACACCAAGAGATGCCTCTGAGCCTGGGCGAAGAAAATAGAGAAGTGTTAACACATTAAATCATTTTTTTGCTTTCAAGTGTATATACCCCAGTGCTTGTATGTGAGCGTGATAGAGAGATATGAAAGACCTTTGGATAAAGATCCTTCACTACTACAACATCATCCAATATCTCCATCACAACATTCTTATGCTTGTCAGGATGCATTGCAATGTTGTAAAGAGCCTGAGCCCATGAGTTCCATGCTTTGGTCATGCCTCCACCATCTTCCTTATCTGGGTCTTCTTTTTTGTTCAGATAATTTCTAACACTAGGTTCAAGGTCTTTCTGAAGTCCCTTCAATTTTTTCTTTACACCTGATTCATAGATAGCTTCCCTTTTGACCTTCTCATCACCATTTGTAGGACTTGTCTTTGATTCTAGTGATCTTCCACTGCTTCCCTTGGAGGATCCTCCATGACACCTCACTATGGATGCAAACCCTTCAAAAAGGGATGAGTAAGTTTCACGAAGTACCTCACAGCCCTGGGCATAGTCGTTGTTGAGACAGTTTGGTCTCTGAGGATTCATATTTGGTCCTAAAACATGGATGACATGGGTTATGCCTTCCCTAGTAAACAATGGAGAAGTTGGAGGAAGTGAGACCACTACAGCTTTTCCGGGCTTAAGTGATCCAGCCCTTTCCTTGGTTGCATTTTCTAGTTCAGGACCCGCAGCACTAAAGATAGCAGCATTTACGCCTCCACCTCCAGGTTTTAGTCGCCTGCACAAAGTTATCCCTCAGAGATGATCTTCCTAAAATGCAAATGTGGCATATGTATACAGAATTGAAAAAAGAATTTAGATGGTGTAAGAAGGAAGAGACCAAACTGACAGCTAGCACTGTTCTTGAAAGATATGTGACAAGATAAAGTTGGCAAGTCAAACAATAAATAAAGAAGGTGACTAGGGGGGAACTGTGCCATTCCATGTCTTATTTCCTGGGATCCATGCCAGGACAAAATGCTATCCTAACATATAAAGGTAGTTATCATCTTGATACTGTAAAGCTCCTTCATTCTGCTTTCCATGTGAAGGTTGACGTTTAACAATAATGGAGAGAGAGATCTATGGATAACTCCCCTCTTACAGCTATACGGAACGATCTGCTATCCCCCATTCTTTCTAAATCTCTTCCACATTTCCTCTTTGAAGATATTTCATGTATCTGTAAAAAATTGCATCCAGATGACAGATGAAACAGAGAGATTCCTAACTCAGTTTAGTTGTCTGTAAGATGCTGCAACAACCTGTAAGCATCAATTGTCCATCAAACGTGTTTTTTTTGGAACATGATCTTACATATTTTAAAAGATTACAATAAAATTTCAACAGATCTTGCATATATAATAGATTTTTTTACCCCATGCTAATAAGGCAATCATACATAAGGACTCTTTACCACATGAACTGAATCCCTGTGGTTTTCTTCCAAGTGTAACAATACATCATTTCAATAGTGCCATGGTTATTTCCTAACCACCCCAGAAATCATTTCAATGGTGTCATGCTTACATATTATATAACATCCCATCACCATGTCACTCTTCAAACCAGTTTCTTTCAAGAAGAAAAAAATTGGCAGACACAAATAATTGA